ATATTAATTATTATTATTATTATTATTATTATTATTATTATTATTATTATTATTATTATTATTATTATTATTATTATTATTATTATTATTATTATTATTATTATTATGAAGACCAATAAATTCTCTTCATGGATTCATAATTGTTGGTGACAAATCTCATCGTTGACTTTACTCTCTTTGTTGTTTATCTTATTTTGGTAGTATTTCAAAATAAAATAACTACTTAACCAATTAAATTCCACTCATTACTTAACCCCTAAGAAAATAACTTTCACACAAATTTTTTATTACTTATATAATTCTACATTTTTATCTCTTAACTTGCTTACCAAGTAAACCACAAAATCAATTAACCAATCATATTTTGAATTCGTTGATTGTTATGTAACTTCAATTCTCTTAATCTTTCATAGTAAGTTAAGTCCATTTCTAATTTTTACTTAGTTTATGTTTAGGAATCTTTTCTTGTACTTGCTTTGTTATTAAGCAAGCATAATTGAAATATGTATAATATGACACAAGACAAGGAATTTTCATATGCTATAGAATTTTAAATTTCATATGAAATAACTATAAATGTATTCTAGGTGTTGCTTGTTACCACTTTTTGATAGATTCTCTATAAAGAAACTTTGTTGTTCAATTTTTCTGTTTTGTTGTTCTTGTTTTCGCATTCTTCTTGTTATTTCCATGGAAAAATTCAAGCTTAAATTCAAAGGAATTTTCTCTGTAAGAATGTGATTTTTAATTTGTACATAAAATTTAATGTTACACATTACACTGATAATTGTGGTTGAACATGTTTTTTTGATAGAGCATAGGTTGTCTTCGAAGCCGCGAAAAACCTTCTGTTGGTATTACAATGGAGGAGGGAATTCAAGGACAAACTGTGATCAAGAATGATGGATCATCAGATTTTTGGAGTAGTAGTGCTTACGAAAAGGATAATAGCGCGGCTCCATCGATGAGGAGCGTTTCGTCGAGTGGAATAACAATGAATTCTTCTTCTGATCTTCAAAGTAATTCAAGCAGTCATATTAATCCTCATGAGTTTGTCAATCAAGGTAAGTTTGTTGTCAATTATTAGCTTTATGCACAACTTTATTTTATCTGTTATTATAAACACTTAATTAAATTGTTTATTTTTATGGATATTTAATGTTTATTATAGTGACAACTTTTTTAATGTATATGCAGGGCTTATTGTATGGAACCAGATAAGGCAACAATGGGGTGGAAACAAAAGGTCTCAAAGTAAGACAGAAGATAGAGAACCAAAAATAAGGTAAAAGTAATTTATACATAATAGTATAAACATCTCAATTCAATGAGACAACATATTTTCTTACAATACCTCGTATACGCGGTGGCGTAACATATTATTTTGATAATATCTCATAGACGCAGTGACACATATATCAGTTTTTGAATGATACTGTAATATATTTGAAGCTTATTTTTACATCAAAATTATTTTTGAAGGGTTTGTTAATTTCTTACTGAATGATCATGTTCCACAGTTCAAATGCTGCCTATGAAGATCTACTTGGAAACAATAAGCCTTTTCCCAAACCTATTCCTCTAAGAGTATGATAATTTTCTAAATTTGGTTTTTCAATTATTGAAATTTGAAGTTCTAGTAAGATAAAATGTGGCAACAAGTTAATGATTGATTATAATATTTTTTGATACAGGAAATGATTAACTTTCTTATTGATATTTGGGAGCAAGATGGTCTATATGATTGATTGATCAAGCAAAATATGCAAGTTTGTTTCTATTTTCTGTTTCTAAGGGTTCTTTTCTAATTTTAAATGAAATGATTAGAGTATTAATTGTATAATCATGGTTTAATTAACTAAACAATTTGGAACTGCAATTGTTGTGGCCACGAGTCGCTATATCAATTGCAGAAGAATTATTTTGGGCTTAAGCTGCTGCAAATTTCTGGTTAAAGGTTTAATGTTTATTGTTAGTAATAACACAAGAAATTGTATTTTATTAATGTATATATATAAAGATGATTACATCGTTGGTAATTTAGGAATGTAAATGGATATATATGAGATAGATAATATGATATTCATGTCTCTTTCGTAAGATAAATATGATATTTGTATTTGTCTCATATTTATGTAGATATCGA